TAAATGTGGTGTGTGTGTGTGTGTGTGTGTGTGTGTGTTTCTAGTAGACATTGTCTGTTGGTTTTTCGCGTGTTGATTTGGGAACGTTTTTACGTACGTACCATTTTGTTTTAGATAAATATACTTGAGATTCTTTAACAACGGATTCACTAAAGGTTGGTGATAATATGTTTTTGACATGTATTTGTAGTTGGTAATATAGTTATTAGTAACCCGCCGATGTACTTTTGACGTAAATTATATTCTTTTTTTTTTTTTTTAATAGGGTGGCATTTGTAAAACCAAAGTGATGGCCAGTTTTGTACCTGTGTATAACGAGCGAGTTTGAATTGTTGTCTAAACGTAAATTTCTTTTATGTTCGTTTTTAGATTTCCTGATGTTTCTTCGATATAAGTGCTTTAACATTGTAAGCAATTTATTTTATAATTACCGGCATCTAAATTGGTGTTGTTTTGGACATGATGGTAAAGATCACATTCGGGGTAACTAATTTATTTACAACTTTAGGATAAAGAGTGTTAGAAGGGTAGAGCTATGAATGTTGTGTTGTTGATAGAAGTCATCGGCGATGTCTAGTTTATTTTATCCACGTCTCATTCTCTGATGGGGATTTTAATAAAAGTTAAACATATTAGATTGATAAACATTTCCTTCATTTATTGTATCATTCTGTTGGATTCCCGTTCGTATCTGATATATATTTGATCCCGACTCATATATAATCGCCAGATTCTTTCCATCGTTCAGTTGTTGCAGCAGAAATTGATGTTATGTTATTCATTGATTTATTTTGAATTTCGAAATGCTTTTAAGCGAGTCACGCTGAGTGTTTTAAAATATGATCAATAGCGTATGATCGATACACTCTGTAGAAAGAGCCTTTTTTTTTCTATAAACACTTTAAAACCAGTGTGAATTGAAGTCTTTGCAAAAAAATTTTAAAGAAAAAATTATCATTATTGTATCGGTGCGTTCGAATCAAAGATATTTTTGGACAATTGAACTCTTTACTGTTTATTTATCCTGCAGCATAAATGCCAGTTCTAGTCTATGGTTTTATTCGGGTATGTCATTAAAGAAACCAAAAGAAAAAAAAATTCTCTTGAAAAATAACTAGGCGAAAAGGATTGATTTTTTACGGTTTATCAACCATTTGTGGGTTATTTCAAAACAAACTATTTTGGATTTTAAGAATAATTCTTTTTTGCGAGTGTATATTGGATTACCAATTTTTTGTGATAATAATGATTTTCCAGATACGATTCCTACTATTTAGCCCATAGCTTAGTGTATTAGCGCATAAGTGAGGGTAATAAACTTGAATGGAATTCAAATTCGGCTCTCATTCCGAGTAGGCGAAGAAGAAGAATAGTACAACGACTTAATTAAACATGCAGATCTTTAACAATAAACTTGACCTCGTACAAGGCTCAAGAGCCTCTCAGGGTAGATGGCTAGTTTTAAAATTGTTATGATGAAAGAGGTCTGTGATAAGAAGTTGTGGTAGGAAAGTATGGTTATGAAAATAAGTAGGATATATAATGATTAACCGTTTAATTGAAGCGATCACTATTGAAGTGTTTAGGTAAGTACACATGCGGGAGCCTATTCCATAAAGTGCCAGTACTTGGAACTGAACTTTCTTCAGACATTTGAAATGATTCTGATTCGATTCCGTGAAAATGGCATGGCGTGTCTGTATTGTAAATGAGCTTGTGTTCCTCTGATATAGATCATACAGCACTTTTTTCAATCCGCCATTCTTGAGTTGCCGCACCCGTTGCCAACGTAAAAAAAAATCTTTCCCCTTCTCACTGCTTCTGCCTTCTTTTTTATCATACCAACACAACAGCCGACTGACCAATTAGCATTCTTCGCTTCGTCCTCAGTTACCGAGTCAAATATCATCCTCCAGTCCGACCAGTCAGCACACGACTTGCTATTCGTCGAACCACGCTAAGCTGTACAAACGCCACCATTAGGGATATACACTTTCGGAAAAATCTAACTTAAGGAGAGGAGATTTATGCCATTTTCAGGGAAGAAAATGCCGCTGCTATGTGTCGTGTATTGAGGTAAGGAACTTATTTCCCTTTGCACCAGATACAAGCCACTTCACTTGCTTCTACGTAACTATTCACCACAGTGTCTTATATGTATATATCTAAATTGTTGAAACGAAAGAATGGAACTGATCTAAAAATCTGCCGTGGAAATAGAGCATCAATAGGCCTGCGACTTTGCACCTTTGGAGAAGAGATTGCAGAGTGGGAGAAGTGACCTCCTCTGCGAGACTGCTAAAATTCTTTTGGAATCTATCAGTGCTGGAATGTGATGATTGAACAACTTCAGTCCATATATATAAGTCTAACGTTTTCCGCTGACATGACGTGGAAAGATTATATTGAATGGATTCCTCGGTCTGTTGCTCGGAAAGTTGATGTAGCTAGAGATTATTTCCTAACCAGAATCTATCTTACACGTTTATAAGTCTACCATTCGTCCGTCCAATGGACTATTTCTGTCACATATGGTCTGGTTCTATTAAAAGATTATTGATAAAATACAAAGAAGAATCTGCAATGTTATTGGTTCTGACCTGGCATTTTCGTTTCACTCCCTTTCACTCCGCCGTTACGTGGCCTCTCTGTGCCTTTTTAATAAATATTTTCATGGTAAAAGTTCTGATGAACTTTTTTTTTATACCTAGACTTTATGAATTTAAGCGTGTTGGTAGATTGGCGTCAAAGTCTCATCATCTTACAGTTGAAATGGCTAGATGTAACTGTAAGTTTTATACTAAACGTTTCTTCTCTCACCTTTTTCGCTTGTAGATCCCTTTTGTGGCTTATTGTTTCCGAGTCAATTTTGATCTTTAAAAATTTAAATGTAATGTCAATCGTTATCTTCTGTCTTCTATTTCCTGATCTTTTATTGTTTTCGCGACTTACTAATTGTTTTCTTTTTCTCATATTCTCATATTCTATCACTCTCCTTAATCTCTTAATTACACACATTTTACATAGGCAAAAGCTCTTCGTAATGTATTGAGCTGTACTTTTTTATTTCTTTAAGGCAAGGATCACCAGAAATTCCTTCAATGAGTCTATCGGAACGTTTTCCAATCAATCCGAAGGCTCCAATTACAACTGGAAATACTGATGTCCTCATGTGCCACATCTTTGAGATTTCGATTTCAAGGTCCTTGTACTTTAATAGTTTCTTGTAGATCATCAAATATAAATTACAATCTGAAGAGACTGCCATGTCAAGTAGGCACATTCTGTTTTTGTTGTCTTTGATCAAGATGTCTGGTCGATTAGCTTTGATTGTTCTGTATGTGTGTATTTTAAAGTCCCAAGTCTCATCATCTTACAGTTGAAATGGCTAGATGTAACAATAAATTCTATGCTAAAGGTTTCTTCTCTCGCTGTTTTTGCTTGTTGATCTCTTTTCTGGTTTATTGTTTCCGAGTCAATTTTGCAATGTCAATCGTTATCTTCTGTCTTCTTAATTCCTACTCTTTTATTATTTCCACACTTTACTAATTGTTTTCTTTTTCTCATATTTGCATATTCTCTAACTCTCCGCAATCTCTAAATCACACACATTTTACATAGATAAATCTCTCTTTGTAATGTCTGAGCTGTACTTGTGATACAATTTTTTTGTATTAATTTAACACGTGGGCTGCCAGAAATCCATTCAATGAGTCTATCGGAAACATTTCCAATCAATCCGAGGGCTCCAACTACAACTGGAAATACTGATGTCCTCACGTGCTACATTTTTTAGATTTACACTTCAAGATCCTTGTATTTTGATAGTTTTTTGAAGTTATTAAAAGATACATTACAATCTGCAGGGAATGCCATGTCAATAAGAAAGCACATTCTGTTCTTGTGGTCTTTGATCCCGATGTCTGGGCGAATAGATTTGATTGTTCTCTCTGTGTGCATTATAAAGTCCTATAAAATTGCTACAAGTCCTACCTCTATAACCGGGTCTGGATGGTGTTCATACCAGTTTCTTGCAGTTACATATTTTCCAGCTCAGATATTGGCCCACTCTATCATGCCGACTTTTATTATTATTATTATTGTTGTTATTTCCTTCCGCGTCCAAAACAACGACCTAAGGTCAGAAATGGCTTCATGGCATTTTCCACTGATCATTTTTGCAAAAAAAAAAAATTAAGATCGCACACATTATTATTATTATTATTATTATTATTATTAATAATAATAATGTTTATAATAATAATAATGCGTGTGACTTTTTAAAATTTATTCGTATTATTATTATTATTATTATATATTATTATTATATTCAGTTACCGTATGTTCTCACATGTTACATAATTATATGTTGCCACATTATACATGTTCCCACATTATACATGTTCCCACATTATACATGTCCCCACATGTTGCATAATTATATGTTCCCACATGTTCCCATATTATACATGTTTACACATTATACATGTTCCCACATGTAGTAACTTGTGACTTGCACTAGTGATCAAGTGATAGCAGGTCCCCTCAATATTGTTTCACGATTCTGTTTTGATTAACGCTGTTGTTTGGATGGTCCCGACTTTTCCAGTTCATGCATGAAAAAACTTGCATCTTTGCAACAAGTAATTGAAGGCTTTCGCCGCGGCAAGTCACCACAAGTCTCCAGCAACTTTCTCAATGTCCTCACATATTCCAGGAATGCCGTGGTATGGGCAGCATCTTCTGTACATCAAAATTGGTCTAAATTTGCATTTAATGTTTTAGCACTATTCCAAGTACGTTCCTACAGTCATGTTTCTAATCTTTAGATTCCACACATTTGGCCTTGTGCCAGACTTTATATTAAGTAAATTGGAAGAAAGGTAGAAAATGCACTACGATATTCCTCAAGGTGTTTGTGCTTGATCCGCCGTCGACTATTATTATTATTATTATTATTATTATTATTATTATTATTATTATTATTATTATTATCCAAAATGTCATATCTTCTCAAATTTCGTTGCATTCAATTTTTTTCTTCTTTAAATTCTTTCTTTTCTTTTGTTAATTCTTTTCCTCGGTACTTTTATATATTCCCATGTGGAGTAATGGATCGCGGATCGGGTTGAGAAACTGGAGACCCTAGTTCGAATTCCAGTTGAATCTATTATATTCGCTTACGTGCTAATAACCTTGGGAAATGTATGAATCTTCTTCTTGTCCCCACCCAGCTATGGGTAAATAGCAGGACAGACCGGGTTCTATAGTATAGCCTTGAGATGGCAACTGGTCTATCGCAGAAAGAAATGGCAATCTACTGCGGGAAAAGCATCTGCCTCGTCACTCATCTATCGAGAGATACATGATCGCTTAAGTGTGTATCAAGTATGGAAAATAACTGACTAAAATTCACTTACGCTTTAATACTATTGGGAAAAGGTATAAATCCTCTTCTTCTCCCCCGAGACGGGTTCTATAACCTTTGATGGCAACTGGTCAACCGCTGAAAGAAAATTTTCATTAATATTTTCTTTATTTTATCCGTTTTTTTCTCGATCTGTTTTTTTCATTACTTTATTTTTTTTTACATTTGCTTTCGTCTTTTTTCTTCATTCTTTTTAAGGTTTATCATATTTATTTTTTTTTTCTCTTTTTCTTCTTTCTCTTCCTTTCATTTCCTTTTTCTCATTTTTTCTTTTTCCTTTCTTTTCCTTCTCTTTTGTCTCCCTTCCCACTTATTCGTTTTCTCTTCCTTCTCTTTCGTCTCCCTTCCTCCTTCTTCCTTTTTCTTCCTTCTCTTTTGTCTCCCTCCCCACTTATTCTTTTTCTCTTCCTTCTCTTTCGTCTCCCTTCCCCTTGTTCTTTTTCTCTTCCTTATCTTTTCTCTCTCTTCCTCCTTATTCTTTTTTCTCCTTTCTCTTTTGTCTCCTTCCTCCTTCTTCCTTTTTTCTTCCTTCTCTTTTGTCCCCTTCCTCCTTCTTCCTTTTTTTCTTTTTCTCTTTTTCTCTTTTGTCTTCCCTCCCCTTCTCTTTTGTCTTTTCCTTTTCCTTTTTTTTCCCTTCCTCCTCTTTTTTCAGATTTTCCTTCTTCTTTTGTCTTATTTCCTCCTTCTTCCTTTTTCTTTTCTCTTCCTTCTCTTTTGTCTCCCTTCCTCCTTGTTCTTTTTCTTCCTTTTTTCTTCCTTCCTCTTTTGTCCCCTTTTTCTCTTCTTCCTTCCTTTTTCTTCCTTTTTCCTTTTGTCTTTTTCCTTCTTCCTTTTATTCTTTTTCTCTTAATTTTCTTTTGTTTTCCTTTTTCTTCTTCTTTTTTTCTTCCTTTTCTTTCTTTTTCCTTCCTCCTTCTTCCTTTTTCTTCCTTCTCTTTTGTCTCCCTCCCCACTTATTTTTTTTCTCTTCCTTTTTTTTGTCTCCCTTCCTCCTTGTTCTTTTTCTTCCTTCTCTTTTTCTCTCCTTCCTCCTTCTTCTTTTTTTTTCTTCCTTCTCTTTTGTCTCCCTTCCTCCTTCTTCCTTTTTCTTCCTTCTCTTTTGTCCCCCTTCCTCCTTCTTCCTTTTTCTTCCTTCTCTTTTGTCTCCCTCCCCACTTATTCTTTTTCTCTTCCTTCTCTTTTGTCTCCCTTCCTCCTTCTTCCTTTTTCTTCCTTCTCTTTTGTCTCCCTTCCTCCTTCTTCCTTTTTCTTCCTTCTCTTTTGTCTCCCTCCCCACTTATTCTTTTTCTTAAATTTTTTTGTCTCCCTTCCTCCTTGTTCTTTTTCTTCCTTCTCTTTTGTCTCCCTTCCTCCTTGTTCCTTTTTCTTCCTTCTCTTTTGTCTCCTTCCTCCTTCTTGTTTTTTCTTCCTTCTTTTTTTTAATTCCCTTTTTCTAATTTTTTTCTAATTCTTTTTCCTTCTTATTCTTTTTCTCTTCCTTCTCTTTTGTCTTTTCCTCCTTTTCCTTTTTCTTTTTTTTTTCTTCCTTTCCTTATTTTTTTTCTTCCTTATTTTGTCCCCTTCTTCCTTTTCTTTTTTCCTTCTTTTTTCTTATTCTTTTTCTTCTTTCTTCTTTTTTCTTTTTCCTGGATGGAAATTTCTCTTTTTGTCCCCCTTTTTCTTCCATCTTCTTTTCTTTTTTCCTTCCTTCTTCTTTTTTTTTTTCCTTTTCTTCCCACTTATTCCTTTTTTTTCTTCCTTCTCTTTTGTCTCCTTCCTCCTTCTTCTTTTTTTTTTTGTGAAAATCATTTTTTTCTTTTTTCTTCCTTTTGTTTCTCCTTCCTCCTTTTCCTTTTTTTCTTCCATTCTCTTTTGTCTCCTTTCCTTCCTTTTCTTTTTTCTTCCTTTTTTTGTCTCCCTTCCTCCTTCTTCCTTTTTCTTCCTTCTCTTTTGTCTCCCTCCCCCCTTTTTCTTTTTCTCTTCCTTCTCTTTTGTCTCCATTCTTCCTTTTTTTTTTTTTTTTGTCTTCCTTCTCTTTTGTCAGAGAAATTTTGTCTCCCTCCCTTTTTTTTTTTTTTTTTCTTTTGTCTTTCACCCCTTTTTCTTTTTTTTTTTATTTTGTCTCCCTTCCTCCTTGTTCCTTTTTCTCTTCCTTCTCTTTTGTCTCCCTTTTCTTTTCTCTTTCGTCTCCCTTCCTCCTTATTCCTTTTCTCTTACTGTTATTATTTTCATTTCTTTTCCTTGTACCTATTTTTTCTTTATTTCGCTTTTTATCCCTTTTTTCTTTCTTTTTCTTTCTCTTACTCACCTGCTTCATTTTTTTCATAATTCTTTTTCATTATCTCTTGTGACTTTCATTTTCATTTCCTCCCTTTTTTTTTTCTTACCCTTCCTCGTCTAGATTTCCTTTTTCTATTCTCTCGCTCTCTTTATTTCCCCCTCTTCTGTTCTTTTATATTCTTCTTTTTCTTCATTTTATTAATTGTCGTTTATTTGTTATTAACATTTCCATAGTATTTTTTTTTTTATTTCACATTCGCTTTTATTTTTCCAAATCATTTCGCTATTTTCCACGGTCTTTTTTTTTTTATTATTTCCATTGCATACTTTCCTCAGTTCGTCATTTTTTCCCCGTTCTTCATTTCCCGCCAATTCCCGTCTTTACTCAAAATGGCGCCAGCAGTCTTGTTTCCGACAGGTTTCCCATGGAAGCCTTTCTTCAAGTAAGAATCTCAAGAAAGCAATCTGATTTTTATATTTTCAAGTTTTTCTTTTTGTCATGTCCGTTTTTTTTTTGTTTTTTTTTACTGCGCTTGATGCCTTTCGTCCTGAACTCGTGGTGAATGTTTAGCCCCATGCATAGATGAGACACACAGTTAGTAAAAGCGGACACACATGCGAACACTTGAATAATTTATATGCTGTATACTTATATTAAAGTGCGTTGAGATTTTGCAGTTGTACAATTTCTCACCCCAACACATACGATTTGCGCATATATATGCGTGCGTGTGTATGTCTTCGCGGGTACAAATATATATATATATATAGGCGATAGTAATCTTACAAGAGTATGTGCCAACTACGTGATCGTGAATATATCTGCGTCTAATATTGAAAGAAAGGTAACAATAGAAACAGCATGTGTATGACATTCCACATACACACACAAATACACATACACACATACACATGAATATACGTGTTATATACCGTACCTATGAACACTAATGGGTATGTCCCAATCCTCATAAATATATTGGACACTATTGTAAGTGGGGGTAATATGCTGTCTAAGTAGTCCACCACTAGAAGTGGTTTACCTACTTCATGCCGCTGGCGAGTATTGTATTTTGTTGATGTTATAAAGATTACCATTTAATTTCCAATCTCCGTTTTGGTTATTCCTCATTCAGTAACCTTTTCTTGGTTCTTGGTATATTGCTCAAAAAAGTAATATTAGCCGTTTCCTTACAAGGAAACATTTTGGTATTAATCGACCAAGCAGCCTGTACTACTATCGGTTGAAATTTATAAAATACTTTATTTTAGGAAAACAGGTTTCTAAAGATGTTATCGCTCTTTCCAGTACTGATGGGAATTTCCCTCTTTTATTTTAAGTAGAGTGGAATATCAACATTTTCATTACGTTATTATTTTCTAGGCGAGTTACATGTGGTATACATTTTAGTTGTTGCGGCTATTCGTAGATCTCAAGAGATGTGATTTCTGTTATTTGATACAGTTATTTGTGATTCTGTAGCGCCAGTCTACAATGTTCAAACAAGAATAGTTTACGTCAAGACCCACAACTTTCACTTGCTCAAAGCCATTTTTAACCATTTGTCTCAGAAAGCGGTTTTATAGAGCTGACAGTTTAGATATTTCTGATCGGGTTTGGCGCCATCCATGACATCCATATTTAAGTCTCGATCTGTCGAGGCTATTTAAGAAACTGACTTGAGTTTTTATGTTGAGCTTTTGGTTTTGCAACAAATGGCGGTGTTGTGCAAAACTACCTCTGACACAACCTATTCAATTTCCTTTTCTCCTATAGTTAATTTCTTATAACTGATCCATACGTTGAGGTATCTAAAGTGTTTATTATTTACTTTACTAATTCCACTGAATCTTTATGATGGATCAGAGTAGGTGCCATCACTGCTTTCATTCTAATTCCATATCATAGTTTCTGTTTTGGATAGATTTCTATTTCTTGAAACACTTGGGAGATTATGTTGATTTTCTGTTCAACAATAATCTTATCCCAACTATAAATACTTATATCATCTCTATATCCCCCTTCATTCTCAGTTCATTGACCTTACGAAGGAGAGCAGGATTATTCTCTTTTATTGTGATATGCTTATATGTGTTTGTAAATACGCAGGGATTACTCCATTAAATAGAATTGGGCTCTCCTTTCCACCTTGTTCTTCCGATGGGATTTAAAATGTTTCCTCATTGGGGTTTTTGCCAGACACGTAAGATTTTGTAGATCGATACAATTTCTCTATTATATCGTTGCATTCAATGGTGATGGAGTTTGGAAGGCGATTTCTAATGGACGAGAAGAGGAAGTCTCTATTGATA